CGACGCCGAGTTTGTATTCAAGAAAATGGGTTTCACTTTTGAACGCCAGTAATTTGATTTATGTTTTGTCCAGTTAAAATGTTTCATTTACAAATTTTATTTTTTTGTGTTACTTTAAGTTCTTGATAATAAATCAAATCGGTCGATAGCCGCACTGTTTACGGCGTCAGTACTTCAATCGTGTGAAAATTCTGCCCGGGTTCGATTTCCGCGGCCGGTAGACGTAGATTAGCTATGCTTGTACGGAGGATTGGCCCCCTCTGTGCAGCTTTGGTAGGATGGAAGAATGTTGGCTTGGGTCAATGTGAGAGATTGACACCGGTTGGCATTTGACCACCCCCCTAATTAATGAGGTTATCCAGGTTTCCCTCATTCCTGCACTGAATGGTGGTTAGGGCCTACCANAATCAAATAAGTTATGGACAATCACAACAGAGCGTGTATTTAAACTTAAACAGTAAATTTTTCGAAAAAAGTAATATAAAAATAATGCGAAGCGTGCTGTCTGCTTCTTCGACCTTAAAGCTCGAGCCCATAATAAAATCACAAGAACGCACGTCGTAAACAATATTACTTTGACATTCCTTTCGAGGAATACCGCCAAGAGCCGCGCTCGTAATTCTACGCGTTCTTCGACCGATAATTCTCGTAAAACTCGGGATTTGAACGGACGCAGGATAAAACGATTTATGCAACGTGTTCTCGCGGCCTTAAGACTTTCATTACTGAATTTTTTCGAATCAACACAAAGCATTAATGTCTTTTAATCCTGCGAGTGAGGCGGCCACTCCCTCTGTACGTTCTCTTTTAGCATTCTACAGGTTCGACGGGCGGTGGTTAGTGCGGCGGTACGGGGCGGGATTTTACACATTCGTCCATAATTATGGAAACATGATAGGAATGATAACATTGGTTGTATAAGTGCTCCGTTTGCGCTTTTTAGAAGAGTATGTTTGTCAATATTAATACTCTGTAATGCGCTTGGAGAGAATACATTGTTACTTACTACATCTTCTTCAGATGTAAAGCACTAGCTTCATCAGAGGGCACACATCAGTGCGATTGACCACTCTTTCTATCTGGAATATAGTTCCACGGAAAGAATCGGATATCTGGGAAACTTTTTCCGTGTGCTAGCCCGAAAAAGCTCATCTTATTATTATTATTATTATTAATAATTATAAATGAATAAGAATGACATAATTGTAGTGCATAGGTTAGACCTTTGTTGTCTATTGCAGCAGATACAATAAAGCTAACAAATTTTACTGGAAAACCGTGCAACTTAGAAAAATTATAAGATAATGTTTCTTTTTAAAATATCTGAGGGTTCTAAAATTGGTGAAATATTGCCATTAAGACATTGGCGTGTCATTATTATTTTACGAAAATAGTAAAATGTTTCCAGTAAGTACGCCACTGGTAAATCTATCAACTTTTCTACTATCAACGTTCTTTCTACGTTTATAGAAAATAATTGAACAAATATTTCCTTCACGCCAAAAATTATTCTTTCTTTCCTAATTAAAATAAGTGATTTTTTAGAAATTTCAAGTTTGATGAGTATGTCCATAGAGAATATTTTATTTAAAATGACCTTTCCTGTGGATTGCTGTAGCCCTGCTCATTAAATTGGAAACACCCTGTATATATTATAAATGGCCATGAGTTGTGTAAAAATATCCAAAGTATACCTATAACCAATTAAAATTGGTGCCAATGAGTGGTTTAAAAATATTACTGAAAAAACAAGATGAAAATAGTAATAATCTTCACACCTTTTGGAGAACACTTTTATCATTACCTTAAATTTTGGTACCTATATTTAAAAAATATAATATTTCAGGAATGATTCACAATCAGATCAAGAATATTAGGATTAAAGTTAAAAATAAGAACTAACAACTGATAAATAATTTGCTGGAAATAAAATAGATTTGTATTTTTCAAAATATTTATAAAGTATGTTTTAAAACAGCTTTCATGAGGAATTAAATACAGGGTGAGTTTTTTTCGCTGTTTAGTGTAGGGATCTGGGAAAGTAGCAGAGATATAAAAAAGCTTAAATGAGGAAAAATATGCAGTTTTACGATCCTTATTAAATGTTACTTTTAATATTTGAAAAAACGTCATGGCTGGCTAGATATTTGGAGAAATCCGAATTCGGCCAACTCTTTCAGATGCATGTAGCTACGTTGCTACTTATTTTACAAAAAAAATTATATTACAAATTTTCAGGTTTTTGCAGTGTTAATGCAGTGGACAGTGTGATCAAATTGTTCGTGTGCACGTTCGTTTTCAAGTTATAACATAAACTTCAAGTTTTTAAATGTAAATCATAGTTAAAAACGACTGCAGTTATCCCATTTTTCAAATTAACCATACCAAATATTATATCGTTGGAAAGCATAAAAAAGACATTTTTTTCTAGCTAACTATGGTTTACATTTAAAAAACTATGTTGTAACTTGAAAACGAAAGTGCACACGAACAATTTGACCACATTGTCTTATTAACACTGCAAAAACCTGAAACTTTGTAATTTAATTTTTTTGTAAAATAAATAGCAACGGAGCTACACGCATCTGAAGGAATTGACCGAATTCGAATTTTTCCAAATATCTGGTCAACTATGACGTTTTTCCAAAAAATAGAAGTAACAGTTAATAAAGATCATAAAACTACATATCTTTCCTCATTTAAACTTTTTTGTATCTCTGCTACTTTCCTAGATCCCTACACTAAATATCGAAAAAAACTCACCCTGTATATTTCTAGATAATATTAATAACACTGAACCGGCAATTAAATTTACTTTGTAAATAGAATAGATTTATATTTAAAGAAATGGCAATTATTTAGAAATAAGTGTTTATAGAAAACCAACTCACTCTAAATGATATCTAAATTTTAATTCAAATCATCATACTAATATAAAGAAAGGTGTAGTTAAATGTTTGTATGATAGTGCTAAATTGATTTCCTCAAAAGATGAAATTTTTAATAATGAATTAAAATTCATAAAAAAACGTAGGTATGTTAATATAGTCAATACCCTGAGAATTTTGTTGAATCTGTTTTTAGAAACCAAGTCGTTTTGTTAGACAACAAAGAGAAATTACATCCACAATAAAAATACCATATAATTCCTGTAATATCAGAAAAATTGAGGAGAATAGGTACCAAACAAATTTATTCGCTTAACATATTATGTGAAAATGAATCATATTGACCCTAAAAATATGACCGAAAATAATATTTATCGACCCTTGGGCCGCTACAGTATATTGTGTCACAAGGACAGATAATGAGCATTAGTAGCCCACGGATATTAGCTTATAGCTAAGGGCTGCTAATGCGTTGTCTGCATGTATGACACGCTACTGTTTTTTGCCTAGCGTTAAACAAAACCAAAAAAAAAGGAAAAATATAAGAAAAATCTTGATATTTAATGAAAAATTATATAAAACGTCAAAGTACGCAAATGACAAGCGAAAGTGTCCAGATTGTGAAAACTACAAAATCATATTGTTATAAGTTTTTTTCGGCTAGCATATGTGAAAATGAATCATATTGACCGTAAAAATACGACCGAAAATAATATTTATCGACCCTTGGGCCGCTAAACTTATAAAAACACAAGTTCGTAATTTTTCACAATCTGGACACCGTTGCTTATCATTTGCGTACTTTGACGTTTTATATAATTTTTTATTAAATGTCAATTTAAACCAAAATTATTTTTTTGGTTTTGCAGAAAACGCATTAGTAGCCCTTAGCTTAACTATCAGTTAATATCCGCGGGCTACTAATGCTCATTTACTGCCCTTGACAATATACTATAACATTAGAACAGTTTTTCAGATAACTAATATTTTACGGTCTTTTATTGTCAAAGACGCGCCCAAATGCAATAAACATTATGTTGGAGAGATTTCTCGACCTGTGAATATTAGAATAAATAAACAAGAAATTACATAAAAAACGAGACTGAGAAATCTAGAATAACGGCCATATATTCAATAGGGTCGGACTAAAATTTTGGAAAAAGAAAACATAATACCGTTAAAAGAAAATTAAAAGAGATTGCAACTATCCATTTGTTGAATGGTGAAAGATATAGTAATAACCATCATATGATATCTCTAGCTGCAGAAACAGATAAAAACAGAGATTTTCTAAACATTTACAACTTTTAATACGCGATATAGTTGTGTTTTTGTATTTTTTATTTGTTTGCTTTTTTCAGCGTTTTTTTTTTGGTTAGGCAAAACTATTTTTGTAAAAATAACACATCAATGATCGCGCAAGGTTTTCTTTCACTAATTTTAATTTTTTTCGCAGGTGGTAAAATACCCCAAAAATAAAGAAAAAAAAGTTTTCGTGAATTCAGAGGTCCACTTTCTGAAAATATATACTACATATGTAAACCTATACAACTTCATTTTATTATTAAGTATAATATATTTTGCGTTATTTGTGAAAATTAATTGACAACTAATTTTTACCAAAATACTTAATATTATACCAAATCTTTAAACAGTCTTAAGTCTATCGAATTCTATTCAAATTTTTCAAATATCTTAGTCTAGAAAATGGATTAGATATCATCCGAAAAAAATTTTTAATTCATATTTAACATTTTTTAGTAATAATTACGATTTCAAAAATATTTAACATTTAAAAATAGGCTAAAAGAACAAGTTAAGTGTTATTTGAAGGTGATTATTTTACTTGTATAATAAACAGATGAGAGGTTAAATAAAAAAAATTAAAATATATTTTTAAAAATTTGCACAAAAATCATTTCTTCTGTTTTGAAAATAAAGAAATTTATTATAAGTTATATTCTTACAGTGAGTGAATTTAAAAATATTCCCACTAACGCCCATATTTTCTACTTTAACTAAGAACCATTCAAAAACTGCAGGTATGGAAAAGTGAGGTGAGAAAACTGGATTAGGTCTAACACTTAGCTGTTTAAAAACTTATCCAATTACCGGAAAATCGTGCTGAGTTTTCTTCCATTCCACGTGCGGTGCTGTCAATAAACTAGTATCTCTTCTGTGAGCCGTTTTTGATATTAATGTTTAACTTTTTAATAAGCGTATATTGTTCCCTAATTTCGACTTTTGAATTATTCAGCCAGGATAATGTTGCTATCCCGCACGATTCCGCTGCAAGTTACGTTGACGGGAACAGCTCTGGTAGCACTGAATCTAACCAGAAGCGAGTATCGATTAAACTGAAGGGTACAGCTCTGTTACGTGCACCATGAACTTTGCGAATGTACCAGGTCTAGCATATTTGCTCTTATTCCATTTAAAACAAAATGTACCACTAATTATTTATGAAAGTGTCAATTATAAGCTTAGGATGTCCGAGTCAAAAAGTGGAAGAAATAGTTTGTTATTTACAAGGAAAAAAACACATGGTCCCAGTAACAGACATTTTGCCGTTTTATATATGAAAACAGATATTCGGCAGCAGGAATCTACTCTACCATCTCCTATATCCATTAACAAAATAATAAAATGTGGCAAAATAGCTATTTAAGCAACAAGTTCAAAAGTGATATTTTTGTAGACTTCTAGAACAAGATTCCGACGTCAATAATAGGCGAGTGCCAGAGCAAGCCTAGTAAAAACATTTTCCGGTTGGGTTTGGTACTCTAGCTTTTCAGCAACCGTCTCGAAATGAAAGCAGTTATATGCTTTACACAGGGTAGAGCATAAAGATGAGTGGATTTGAAGAATTTATTAAAAATAAGTCTTCTCTGTCCTGTGTTACACAACTGATGATTTTTCTTCTTTATTATTCAAGTAACACTTATGCTTCTTTAACCTAGTATTGACGTATGTTTCCATTTGTGCAATATATACTCTTCGTTATATAAGTACTTACACGAAATGCTGTATACATCGAGGCCTTAAAGTAAATCATTCCTGTAGCTACAGCTCTTCCTTAAATATTAAATTAAATATTGTGTTTTCTTAAGATGCGAACTATCTTGTCAGTGTATCTTAGTATAAGAGTATGTGTCAGAAACATTGTTGCCAGATACCTACTCCTCTTTTATCGAATCCTCAGGTGTTTTTCTGATAGCTTGCTCCATATTCCTGTATCTGTTTCCTGAAAGAGCAGATAGTAAGTGCTGTAATTCCTCGTCTAAATATTCTGGCTCACAGATAGCCCCTGATCGATGTACAATGAATTGACAATTATTTGTTTCTGGACTGGGTGGTGATAAGACTCAGATATATAGGGTGTCTCATAATTAGCTGCCAACCCTGAACAGGCCGATTATATGATCAAAACTCAGTAAAAAGTTCATATGAACATGGGTCCGGAAATGCTTCCTAAGGGCACAGGGACCCATTGAAGAGGGAGGAATGGAAATCATTTTTTTGCAATATCTCTCAATCGCGTTGTGATAAATGAATGAAATTTGGTATACACAGCTAAATTTTGATGAGCAATTTGATGGACTAATCCATTTATTTCCACAAGGTCCATTGGGGTGGGTACGGGGGG